CAAAACAGTCTTAAAAAAGAAGAAGAAGTTGTAGGTCCTACACTTTCTGATTTCAAAATTAATTACAAAGATACAATAAACTGAAACCAGCATGGTACTGGCATAAAGAAAGACATAAAGACCAACAGAATAGAATAGAAAGCCCAGAAATAAACCTTCACATATATGGTCAAATGATTTTTGATAAGGGTGCCAAGACCATTCAATGGGGAAGAGAGTCTTTTTTCAACAAACGGTGCTGGGACATCTAGATATCCACATGCAGAAGAATGAGTTGGAGCTTTACTTTGCACCATATACAAAAAATAGCCTCAAAATGGATTAAAAACCTAAACATGAGACCTAAAACCATAAAACTCTTAGAAGAAAACAGAATAAAACCTTGATGACATTGCATTTGGCAATGATTTCCTGGATATGACACAAAAAGCACAGGCACCAAAAGCAAAAACAGACAATTTGGATTACATCTAAATTAAAAATGCCTGTGCATCCAAGGACAAAATCAACAGAGTGAAAAGGCAATCCACGGAGTAAGAAAGAATATTACAAATTAGGTAGAAGAGGCTAATATCCAGAATATATAAAGAACTCCTACAACTCAACAACAAACTCGAGTAAAAACCAGGCAAAGGACTTGAATAGATATTTGTCCAGAGCTGATATACAAATAACCAATAAGCACATAAATATGTTCAACATCACTAATCATTAGAGACCTGTAAATTGAAATACAATGACATACCAGTTCACACCCATTAGGATGGCTACTGTAAAAAAAACAAAACAAGTGTTGGCAAGGATGTGGAGAAATTGGAACCCTTGTGCACTGTTGGTGGGACTGTAAAATGGTGCAGCTACTGTGGAAAACAATATGGTGGCTCCTCAAATAATTAAAAACAGAATTCTATGATTCAGCCATTCCACTTCTGGCTATATATCCCCCAAACTGAAAGCAGGCTCTTGAACAGATATTTGCACACCCATATCCACAGCAACATTATTCACAATAGTCAAAAGATGGAGTAACCCAACTGCCTATAAACAGTTGAATGGATAAACAAAATGTGCTATATACACGTTACCATTTACCCTTAGAAAATAAGAAAATCCTGTTACATGCTACAGCATGGATGAACCTTCAGGATATTTTACTAAATGAAATCAGCCTATTACTAAAAGACAAATAATGTATGATTCCATTTATATGAGGTTACCTAGAGTAGTCCAATTCATAGAGACAGAAAATAGAATGGTGGTTGCAACGGGTTGAGTATAAGGTGGAATGAGGAGTTTGAGTGGGTATAGAGTTTCAGTTCGGCAAGATAAAAAAGAGTTCTGGAGATGGAGGATGGTAATGTTTGCACAGTGACAGGAATGTACCTAGTACCACCAAGGTGCACACTTAAAAATGGATACGATGATAAATTTTGTTATATGTATTTTACCACAATTAAGAATAAAAAAAGGGGGCGCCTGGGTGGCTCAGTCGGTTAAGCGGCTGCCTTCGGCTCAGGTCATGATCCTGGGGTCCTGGGATCGAGCCCTGCGTCCGGCTCCCTGCTCGGTGGGGAGCCTGCTTCTCCCTCTCCCTCTGCCTGCCGCTCTGCCTACTTGTGCTCTCTCTATCTCTCTGTCAAATAAATAAATAAAAATCTTTAAAAAAAAAAAAAAGAATAAAAAAAGAATGGGCGCCTGGGTGGCTCAGTTGGTTAAGTGACTGCCTTCGGCTCAGGTCATGATCCTGGAGTCCCGGGATCGAGTCCCACATCGGGCTCCCTGCTCAGCAGGGGGTCTGCTTCTCCCTCTGCCCTCTTCCCTCTCGTGCTCTCTCTCATTCTCTCTCTCTCAAATAAATAAATTAAAAAAAAAAAAAGAACAAAAAAAGAAAGAGAACAAGAAAATCCAGTAAGAATAAATTTAACCATGAAGGTGCAAGACTTGGACAATGAAAACTACAAAACATTGCTGGAAGAAATTAAAAACCTAAATAAATTGATAGACATTCATGTTCGCAGACTGGAAGACTTAATGTTAAGATGGCAATAAACTCCAAACCAATCTACAGATTCAAACCAATTAATATCAAAATCCCAATGACCTTTTGGCAGAAATGGAAAAGCTGACCTTAAAATTCACTTGGAAATACAAGGGGGCTGAACAGCCAAAGTAGTCTTGAAAAAGAACAAAACTGGAGAACTCATGCATCTCAATTTTAAAACTTATTACAAAGATACAGTTATCAAAAACATTACGGTAATGGAATATAGCTAAGCATGTAGATCAAAGGAATACAATGGAGGGCCCAGAAATAAACCTTCACAACTATTGTCAATTGATTTTTGACAAGAGTGCCAAGACCATTCAATGGGGAAAGAATAGTCTTTTTAACTATTGGTGCTAGGACAACTGGATATCCATGTGGAAAAGAATGATGTCATATCATACACAAAAATTAACCCAATATACATCAAATATGTAAAGGAAAGAGCTAACAAGTATAAAAGTCTTAAAAGAATATAGAGCTAAATCTTCAAGACTTTGGATTTGGCAATGGTTTCTTAGATATGACAACAAAAGCACAAGTAACAAAAGAAAAAATAGGACTTCATCAAAAGTAAACGGTTATGCATCAAGGACAGTAATAAGCTTTCCCAGAGAGTGGGAGCAAATATTTGCAAATTATATATTCAATAAGAATCTACAATCCAAAATATATAAAGAACTCTTGCTCAAAAACAAAAAGACAAACAACTTAATTATAAGTGAGCAAAGACTTGAATAGACATTTCTCCAAAGAATACATATATATGGCCAACAAGCACACAAAAAGATGTTTAACGTCATTAGCCATTAGGAAAGAGAAAGGCAAATCAAAACGACAATGAGTATGAGATACCACTTCACACCTACTAGCATGGCAAAAAAAGTCATAAAACAAAGTAAATAAAAAGTGCTGGTGAATGTGGAGAAATTGGAACCCTCAGACATTGCTGGTGGGAATACAGAATGGTGAATCCTCTGTGGAAAACAGTTTGGTAATTACTCAATAAACTAAACACAGAATTACCATATGACCCAGCCAGTACTTCCACTCCTAAGTGTATACCCAAAAGAACTGTACACAGGTGTTTAAATAAAAACTTGTATACAAATGTTCATATCTGGTCTTTTTACAGTAGCCAAAAGATGGAAACAACCTAAATGTCCATGAACAGATGAATGGATAAATAAAATGGAGTATATACTCTCAATGAAATATTATTCAGCCATAAAAAGCAATAAAGTACTGATACATGCTAGGACATGGATGAATCTCAAAAATATGCTAAAGTGATAGAAGTCTGACATAAAGGTCATATATTGTATGATTCCATTTATACGAAATATACAGAATAGGCACCAGAGAGTGAGTGCTTAACGATTATGAAGTTTCTACTGGAGGGATGAAAAAGTACACAAACCAGATAGTGGTGCTGATGTAAAACATCGTAAAACTCGGTACCACTGAACCGTATACTTTAAAATGGTTAAAACTGTAAACTTTATGTAAAGTGTGTGTTTCACCACACACCAAAAAACCCTCTACCAAGATCTTTTTTCCCTATCTCCTCTATGGAACAAAAAGCCTTCATCTATATCATTCCCGATTCTTCACCTACTTTAAAGAAAAAAAGTCACATTGTACTATTTATACATGTAATCATTATCATTTAATACCTACCCAAAACTCAATTATGAGAAATATTTATGGCAAATTGTCTGAATGTCTTGTGCCTCCTTTCCTCTAGACAAGTGGTCTCTAAATATTTTGATCATGCAGTCCTACTGATAAAAGTATTTTTGAGCACAAATCACCAAAGTAGATATTTATTTAAAGTTATAAATTATGACTGTACTCATATATTATAAAAGATATACAGAAATATAAATTTTAAAAGGTTGAGAAAAATAAATACAAATCTAACATTTTTTTTAACACCTTTCTTTCTATACCCTAATGACCCATTCTGCAAGCATCCTTGTTTGGAGAGCACTCCTCTAGATACCCTAAATTTTATTCTTGGGTTAAAGTAATAGTCCGCACTTGCTGACCCCTTGAAATCTACCTTTACCGAACTCCCTAACCTAAGGTCCTATTAACCTTACGGGTGTTGTTACTGAATCTCTTGTAAGGATGCGTTGAAGACTCTTTTACATACATCGTGTGCCTTCTTTACAAGGATAGATGAGAGAAATTTCTCTTAGGTCTTAGTATCAGAAATATCTATAATGCTTTTGAAAATTTAGTTTGTTTTTATATTACAGACTTACGTAATTGATCACAAAATTCTAGGAACACCAACTGCTAGAAAACAAAGAGCGAAATTCGTGGCTCACTTCTAGCAACCATACCCACAGGTATATTGCTCTCCCAACTTGTCTTCCCATCACTCACAACCCTTCATTTATTTATTTTTAAAATCATGTTGTAGCTCATCCCTCCCTGGCTTCAATTTAATTCTCTATCATTCTAATTCTTCATTTACTAAAAAAAAAAAAAAAATCATTATTGTATTACTTATATATGTATGTGTGTGTATATATGTGTATGTGTATATCTGTGTATGTGTTTAAAAGCACCTCAACAGTTCTTGAAAGACAGGGAGGAACGAATAAACAAAAAAACCCCAGAGAAACAAAAAAAGTCAGGCACTATTGTTCAGTATGGAGATCATCCTAAATTGGAAGCTCCCCTGTGCCAGGGGTATACTTTGCAGATTCTGAAGCATTTAGCAGCAAAGCCCTTCATCCAAAGGGTAATTCGTAACTGAGTTTTGATGAAAAGAATGACAACTCACAATAGCACTGTACTACACTTTCTCACTCTTTTCCAGTTGGTAAGAAATGTTAAAGTGAGGAAAGGGCAATTGGCTTTTTTTTCACCTGTGTGCAAAGCTTAACTAAAAAGTCCATGAAAAAGGCAGTCACATTGCCAGATGGAATTTGTAGCCATGTACCTGGATGTGTTTCCTTCTGGTGTGCTCAGAAGTCATTTGGGGATGACCCGTATTCAATGCTTTCTTGTTCTTCTTGTTCCGCCTCTCAAAGTATCTCCTCTGATGGTTGGTGAGGCTGCTGTATAATTTAATTCGCCTGGGTGACAGACAAACTCTTTCCTGGCCAAAAGCCTGGATCAGTCGGGCTGTGTCAATGGTAGAAATAGAGCTGCTCCTCTCATGCAAAGCCACCTCTCTATCTGTTTGGGTCAATATATCTGATTCCACAGAAGTGGTGGTGGAAACGATGTTGGTGGGGGTGTCTGTGAGCAGCTCACTCTCCTCTGAGGGTCTAGAATCTGAAGAAGTGTTGTTTTTATAATGAAAACCTGGCTGTTTTCTCAGGATGTACTTATCAAATTTAATCTGTTCAATTTTAATCTGATTGGGTTTCCCAGCTTGATGAGTAGAAAGCACCTTGCTTTTTTTAAGCTCTCCTGCAGTTTTATGGAATTTCTCTAGGCTCTTATACCGCTTCTTTTTCTGAAGCTTGTTTTTCTGCTGTTGCGGTCTACCACTCCATTCCTTAACATTTCGTTCCCCTCTGCTGTCATCCTGTGTGCTTTCAGAGGTCCGGAGAGAGTATGTGATGGGATTCTGAAGAAGTTTAGCCAAACGATCGAGTCGTTCCACCAAGGATAGTTCTTTCCTGTCACTGAACTCAGGAGGTTTCTGTTGCCTCCGTCGTTCCTGATACTTGTTCCAGAGTTCATTCAAACTCACAGTGTGCTGAGCTGTTGGCTCTGGGGTGACCTTATGATCCTTTTTTTTATCATTAATTTGTTTGTCACTTTTTGGATAATCTCTAGCCCGACTTTTAGCAGTATGCATCACTTCATTTTCCAAGTTTACATTGATACTGAGGCTCTCTATTCTGGTATAATCTGCCTTTGGCTTTTCCACGTTTTGATGAGGGGAAGGAAGACGAGTGTGTTCTCTTTGTTTGTCTGGATGATGCTGAAAGACATCTTTCCAAGAATGTCTCATGAATACACTCCTCCCTAAGGATTCATGGCAAAAATCTTGATCACTTGGTAGGTGCACTGGATGATGAAAGTAAAACTTGGCTGACCTGAAGACAGAATGGGTAGTATTTTCAAATTCTGAATGACATCTGGACTCTGAAAAGGAGAAAGAAAAAGATTTTAAAGGACTTTCAAAATATTTGCATTCCGTTTAGAAATGGTATTCACACTTAATTCTCTAGATACAGAACAAAGACCTAAGGAAAGAACAGTTTTATATAAAGTTTCAGGAAATTCACTGCCTACACAAAGGATTCTAGCCATGTGCCTACGGGCCAGATTGACACAATAAAACTTTAAAGGACTAAGGGTCAAAAGACTTGGATTCTAGGTTAGATTCTGCCATAGACTGGCTGTGTGACCTTAGGAAGGTACTTTAGTTCTCTGGATTACAACAGCAACTGTTAATGTATTCACTGCCTGCTACATGTGGAATATTACAATATGTGCTCTCTATCTTTTTTCCTTTCAATTCAATCTTGTTGATAAAACAGAGAGAGGTACTGTTAACCTTATTTCAGCTAAGAAACCTGAGATTTCATTTTCATCATCAGTAATTAAACAGGTGGGATTAAAAAAAAACTCTTCATGTGTCTTAGAGGCTTTTAAAATTCCCTTCTCTGAACCATCTTCACATTTCCCCCCAATTTTTTTTATTGTGGTAAAATACACCTAACATAAAATTTACCATCTTCGGGCGCCTGGGTGGCTCAGTTGGTTAAGGGACTGCCTTCGGCTCAGGTCATGATCCTGGAGTCCCGGGATCAAGTCCCGCACTGGGCTCCCTGCTCAGCGGGGAGTCTGCTTCTCCCTCTGACCCTCCCCCCCTCATGCTCTCTCTATCTCATTCTCTCTCTCAAATAAATAAATAAAATCTTTAAAAAAAATTTTACCATATTCATCTTCAGTTTTTGGCAGTCATTATTCTAATGTCAAAACAGGCATTTTTAGATATAAGAACATCTTACAATTATAAATCCTAACTGTAAACACTAATATACACATTTCTGGAGTTCCAAGTCACGTGTAGAAACAAAGATATATACATGCAACAAAGTAACATTTGTGACTATGGGATCCTTTTTGCCCACACTATAGATTACTGGCTACCAGAATTTTCATTACTCTCAGAATCCCTAAGACATTTCCCCACACTACAATAAGATACATGGATCTGCTTTTATACCTAAAGTATAAAGACTCTCAAACCTCCCAACAAACAAAAGTCCAGGACCAGATAGCTTCACTGGTAAATTCTACCAACATTTAAAGAATACAAAATCTTCTCAAAGTCTTCCAAAAACTACAAGAGGAGGGAACACTTCCAAACTCATTTTATGAAGCCACTATTACCCTGACAAGGATACTACAAGAAAAGAAAGTTACAAGCCAATATCCTTAATGAACACAGGAGCAAAAATCCTCAACAAAATATTAGCATATATATAAAAAGGATCATACATCATGATCAAGTGGGATTTACTGCAGGGATTCAAGGATGGTTTAACATCCACAATTCAATCAATGTGATATACCAAATTAACAAAATGAAGGACAAAAATCATATATCATCTCAACAGATGAAGAAAAAGTATTTGAGAAAATTCAATATCCACTCATGACAAAAACTCTCAACAAAATAGGTACAGAAGGAATGTACCTCAACGTAATGCAGGTCATATATGACAAGACCATAGCTGACATCACACTCAATGGTAAAAAACTGAAAGCCTTTCCTTTAAGATCAGGAACAAGACAAGGCTACCTACTCTTGCCACTTTTATTCAACGTACTACTGGAAGTCCTGGCCAGAGTAATTAGGCAAGAAAAAGGTGGGGGGGGGGAGGGGAGGCATTCATTCCTGTCTTCTTCCAATCTGTTCTTCAAACAGTAATCTTCAAAAATGTAAATTGGACCTATCATTTTCTATTTAACAACTTTCTCTTACTCTTAGAACAAAACTCAAACTCCTTAACGAGGTGTACATGTACCTCACTATGCATTACTCTCCTCCTTGATAATTATATTCTAATTATGCTGGCCTTTCCCCTTGTTTCATTAAGCAGCATAAGCAAAGGCATAAAAGTGGGAAAGCATTAAAGCAAATAGTTGAGTGTAAACATTCAGTTTATGTGGCTATACAATTTACAAGTAAAGGCAATAGATAAAATAAGGTAGGAAAGGTTACTTGGGACCAACAGAACAGAGAGCCCAGAAATAAATCCACCCATATATCGTCAACTGATCTTCAATAAGAGTGCTCAGAATACCCAGAAGGGAAAGAACAGGCTCTTGAACAAATCGTGTTAGATAGGCAAAATCTAACAAATCGTTTTCCATAGGCAAAAGAATGAAATGGACCCTTACCTTACACCATACACAAAAATCAACTCAAGGGGTACCTGGGTGGCTCAGCTGGTTAGGTATCTGCCATCAGCTAGGGTCATGACCTCAGGGTTTTGGGATCGAGTCCTGTGTCGGGCTCCCTGCTCAGCAGAGAGCCTGCTTCTCCCTTTCCCTCTGCCTGCCGCTCTGCCTACTTGTGCTATCTCTCTGTCAAATAAATAAATTTTAAAAAAATCTTAAAAAAAAAAAAAGAACGAATGAACGGTAGGTAGGTAGATAGATATTTGGGGACAAATTATGTGGAGCCTGGAACACTAGCCTGAAGACTTTAACTTTATTCTTAATGGAAATTAAGAGCCACTATACCATTTTGAGCAGAGTAACATGATTATGGCTGTATTTCAGGAAGGGTATGATTATGGCTGTATTTCAGGAAGGATACCACAGGAACAGGATAAAAGAAGCAAAATTTCAAAGGGCCAGATAGAATACATTAAAAAATAAAGCAAAAATATGGAGTGCCTGGGTGGCTCAGTTGGTTAAGTGACCAACTCTTGATTTCGGCTCAGGTCATGATCTTGTCTCAGGTCGTGATCTCAGGGTTGTGAGATCCAGCCATGCATCGGGCTCGCACTCAGCAAGGAGTCTGCTTGAGATCCTCTCTCCCTCTCTTTCTGCCCCTCCCCCCCAGCTCATGCTCACTCTCGCGCTCTCTCTCAAATAATAAATCTTAAAAAAAAAAAAAAAAGCAAAAGTAAAAGAATGAGGAAACAGATAACATTACTGTAACATATATTTGTTTTCTAATATCAGTATTTTTAATCAACACAGTCCCACTGACTGGGGGATGAAGTAAAATATATAGTAAAGAGTAGAAAATGAGCAAGCTGAGTTCACTGAGTATAATGGACTCAATGAATAATGAGGCTAGATAATCCTATCTCAAGGCACCTTTTTTTTTTTTTTTTTAAAGCTTCAGTGTGGGGCTTGAACTCATGACCTTGAGATCAAGACCTGAGCTGAGATCAAGAGTCATATGCTTAACCAACTGAGCCACCCAGGAACCCCTCATGGCACTTCTTTAAGAGTAAAGGTCAAATCAGTTGAGGTGGTTATCTACTTCTGATAATGCATTAGTTTTATACATAGTACTTGCAAAATTCCCCCCAAATATATCCAAATATATTAAAAATATGATTTACCACTTTTTAAAAATTAAAGTTAAACATGCTCATTGTAAAATATTCAAATAATGCAGAGAATTTAAGGTGAAAAAGGTCTCCCTGCTATTCCTAGGCCCCCTGGCCCAGTTTCCAGTAATAACAACTATTAAGCAGGTTTTGTATATCCATTCAGATAAAATCCTGCTAAGTAATGCAAAAATATTTGTCCAATAAAAAAAATATTTTATGTATATGCAAACATTTTATACTAACTGATTTGACATACCATAATTTAACTAGATATTTAGGTTGTTTCCAATTGTTTACTCTTCTGAAGAATGCTGCAGTTTCCCCATACCCCAACAATACTTTTTATTGGCATCAAATTTTTTCATCTGTACTAAAGGGCTTAAAGAAAAGTATTTTCTTTCTAAGTATTATTTCATATCTTTAATGGCCATTTGTATTTCTTTTACCATAAAATTCCTGCTCATGTCCTTTGATTGTTTTTCTGTTAGACTGTCTTTGATTTATAAAAAGTTCTTTGCATATTAAGAAAATTAGCTCCCTTTTCTCAATATCAGTTTAAAATTGTTTTCCTACTTTCCACTTATAAATTGACTTTGCATATGGTATTTTTTTCACCATACAGAAACTTAAATTTAAAAAGGTAGACAAATTTATCAAATCCTTACCTTTATGACTTTTAGATTTTGTCACCTCACCTTATTAATAATAATCCATACCTTCATCTAGAACTTTTATGATCTCATGCACTTAAACACTTACATCTCTGATATATATGAATTTTGGTAAAAGAAGGTAGGACTCCAACTTAAGTCTGTACTTCACGTCCCTAAATGCTACGTAAGCATCTTGGCATGATTTGTTGAATAATCCATCTATTCCAAACTGATGTGAAATGGCACTTTTATCATAGAGTAGATTCTCGCTGTTTTTAAGTTTATTTCCATTAATGAGCCCACTCTCAGTCTCTTGCCCCAATAGCATCCTTTTAACTATTACTGTTCTATAGTTCAGTTTAATACCTTGTATGGCTAAACCCTACACCATCTCCATCATCTTTTTTCAGACTCTTTCTGGTAAAGAGGAACTTTATTTTGTAAAAATAAAAAAATTCCAATCCTACCAAAAAGCTGCAAAATAGTATAATGAACCTACATATATTTCTCTTAGATTCACCAATTACTAACATTTTGCTACAGTGGCTTTATCTTTCACAACCATAAACATATATGTACATATATTATTAATATTTTATCTGAACCACCAGGGAATAAGTTATAAGCATCATGTCTTATTCACTCTGCCTTTTCACATACTATAGGATGTATACCCTAGAAAGAAAGGTAGTCTCTTACATACCATTATCAAACACATCTAATTTAACATTGACATGATACTACTGTGAAGTTTATGTTCAAATTTCAGCAATTTTCCCCAAACTGTCCTTTGTAGTAATTTTTCCCCTTGGGCTAGAGTCCAATCTAGGATCATGACTACGTTTAGCTGCCATGTCTCTTTAGTATCCTTTAACCTAGAATAGTTTCTCAGCTTTTGTCCTTC